CGGGCTGAGATCGAAACCACAGACGTGCAGCGATGATGTGTACTATGTCACGAAGTCTGCTATCTCCAATCGCTGATCGCCGCAGATGAAAGTTATAAAGCAGATGTTTAAGAAAGAATGAAAAAGCGTCGAACTGTCTATAAATTTCTGCAGCAAAATCTAGGAAAACCTGTTGTCAGTATATCTGTGAAATTGCCTGTATATCTGACATCTATTCGACCAGTACTCTTGTATGACGCACTAACATGGGATCCTTAGCAAGAAGGAAAACAATGCGCTAGACGTGTTCGAACGCTTGTGTTGGTGCAAAATATTCGACTACAGATAAATCGATCTAATCAGAACTGCTGAATTACTCGAGGACATTCGAAAAAGCACCAGTGGAAGACATTGAACAGGGATTAGCGTTAACTTTTTCTTTGACGAAACAAAGAAACTGAAATTCTCATACTCCTGGCTCGCATTACGATGGAACGACAAGCGATGGATCTGTACATCATGATTCATAATGTATCGAACCCATGATAGAAAAGCCCAAGAAGCAGGATAACAAATTCATGGTTAGATGGTATCAAGGATGAATTGAATACAACGGAGATGGGGCGCGCTTATCGACGTGCAGCATGCAGTTGGCACTGCAGAAGCCAAAATACCATTGAACCGTGACCTGCTTAAAGCTCCCCCCTCCCCCGCAGAAAAAAGCAACTAGCAGCAAAGGAGCGATATAAAACGCCGTGAAATCTGCGTTCCGACATTGTCATTCGTTATTTAACTTAAAGTCAAAGCAGATTAGAGTTCGGTTACATTATACAGACTGATCCAAACACGTCATTAGATATGGTATACCGTAAAGCAGCACTGCGTTCTTACTCGAGACACTTGTGGTTGGATCACTTAATCAGGCCAAGAGTCTATGATATCTGAGCATCTGCAATGCGTGGTTGGGCAACAGCGTCATAAAGCTGACCCCAACAGCATACGTCACCAGGCAGGAACAAGAATGCTCTCAAACTCGAAAACATTATAGCATTATGGCATTAAATTGGAAGCAATTTATCTGTAATAAGCAATAACAGATATGCTTATTACATTATATAATGACGGTGCCATTTTGCCTTACGTCACACAAACCATTAGTCCCACTGTAAGGCAAAATGGCACCGTCATTATATAATGTAATAAGCATATCTGTTTCAGCGACAAGTTACATTAGAAAAGATGGGAATCTAGAAAAGGAGATGGGCCCTATTACAGAAAACTGTCTGAGCATCCATTTACTCCTGTCCATGAACTTCTTGAATGAAAGTCAAAACATAGAAGACGTCCACCAGAAGGCCAACATACAAAACAGTAGAGGCAGATTGAGTTTCATGCAGAATATTTCCTTCTGCTTGTAGTAACCGATGTTTTATAATAAAAAATTTTGAAAAAGCTGCGAGCACACCCGACATCACAAACAAGAGACGTTCTGCTCATGTAAACAGCTAGCCGAGATGCTTTCAACAAACACGCGCAATAAACATAAACAAATTTGCATCTAAAGTCATAACCACTTTGGACAGAGACCGGAATTATATTTTTATCATGGCTTATTTCATAACGCATAACAGCAGCGTAACGACAATACCTGAGAAGCTGTAAGAAAAGAAACAATCTGCATACTTTTCCCGTGCAGTAGACGGTTTATGACTTCTCTGAGCACGTTTGGATTTAAACGTATCAATTTTGGCAGAGCGACAAGGATTTCTTTCTAAAACGATATAGAATTTATTTTAAAATATGCAAATTATTGAATGGAGTCAGAAGATTGCGAACCCGGCTTAAACCGGTCAAAACCGGTATCAAAAACCGCACGTCGGGAACTCGTTCATGGTACAAGTCCCTCACTCGCTTTACCAATTCTGACGTTGGTGGATCTAAGACAAAAATCACACGAAAATGATGCCGCATCGTCGACGAAAAATGTACTTCTCTCCGTCAGAACGTGGACAAGGCGAGTGACCAGAGTTTCGGCACCTTTTGGACAGCGTTCAACAAATGTCAGTAGCTCCGGCGAGTGCATACCCACTACCTTTATCTTAAAACAAATGACGGGTCGTCAGAAACTAAGAAAAAGTTAATACAATGAGACAAAATCCTCACCGGCGCCTCGATCTGGCGCAGGATCACTAGCTTGATTTCGCCAGTCGCCTCATTGTAGACGTTTGCTAGCTGATGGATGAGCTTCGGCTCTTCAGGAAGCAAAAATAAATACAGATAGAGACAGGCTTTGATCGACTGCTCGTCCCATTTGCCCGGATTTTCTACAAATTATCTTCGGCTAGAAGGCAAATTCATATCACCAAGCAAAATCTAACCTGGTCTGCCACGCTCAGCACCAAATATGGAATCCGGCGGAGAGGGCAACAACAAGTACCGCAGAAACATTGTTACGTACTGCTAAAATCAAGACCACAATTTAAACAAACAGTATAAACATTACAGCAAAACGAATACATGAACAAAACAGAATTACCAGAACGCTTTCTCGCAGCACCGGATTGTGCAACAGCTCCTTGGTGATTTCAAGACTCTGGTGACGAAGATCAGTTTTTTCGTAACAAGTGAAATCAATCAGTGCAAACAACAGCTCCTTCCTTTGTCGCAGGCGTGTGAGGATCATTTCGCGGAGTGTCGTGAGTCCAAATGAACCATGCACCTGTTTTGTAAAATATAGCAAAACACGTCAAGATACATGAAAACAGACAGGTATTCATACAAACACGGTGTATATAACTGATGAATCACACAGGGTGCAGACGTCATGAGATATACTTACCTTAGACTGTACATGTGTAATTTACTATATATTACACAACCAGTATGTTAATTATTAATTATCTTTCAACTACTGACACGGAATATGCACGGCGAAAACGGTAAAACAGATTAATCCATTTAATAGCAATACTTCGGTAGTGCAAAACAGCTAGCAATCGTTACACCGGGATGTATCGCAACATTGCACCGTGCTTCTAGTCGCTTAAGGGAACCATTTAAGTAGGTCACGGCTCCGTGATATTTAAACGCGTGTAGTGCATGGGACACACACACACACACCGCGTAGCTGTATTGGGCGGAACAATAGCATTTTCGAGCACCAACAAAACTGCAAATCTTTCAGCAAATATAAAGAAAATAGTATATAACCCTGATGTCATGAAATGGCGATCATGAACAGCGCGGAAGCAGCAATCATTTAGATCAACCCGACCCGCATGAAAATGACGTCGTGCAAAACGTCGTCATTTCTCTGAAGACGAACTGAGGTTGGTTCGAAACATTAGAAACTTTGTCTGACGCTGATTTTATATTTTATGTGATGTTATTCCGTTTATGACTCGATGAAACATTATACGTATGCATTATTTCAATGTCATATATAGATTAGGCATAACATGAGAACAACTACAAACCCATATATCTCGGCTCAAGCATATACAGGTTTCACAAATCCGTCATCCGACTTGTCCTCATGATGGGGTTGGCATGAACGCAAGTTCACGCTCCTCCTGCATCCTCCATTCTCCATATATAATTTCCCAACTGTTAAGATGTTCTCCATAGTACATTAATATAGTAGCTTATTCCATAAATTGTTTGTATTTCGCAAGTACGCAAAATAATTATCAACTATGTATAAACCATACTATGGTCAATGCTGTAAGACTAAAATATGGTATTTATAACCTCAGCAGGCACTGATTCCGGACTAGATGACTAGCGCTTTCCTGACTCAGTCGACGAGCTGACTGATTTTCTTAAGATTCAGGTGCCCTGGAACCATCATATAAAAAGTAACTCTGTCGGACTGCCATTTTCAGAGTAAAGAAGCCTGCAATATTTAGATAAAAATTTTTGCACGTATTAATTATTTTCTCAAAATTAATGCATCGAATTTTAGATTCATTTAAGAATACTCACCGGATCGGTGCAAGCCTGCTTCACAATGTTAATCGCGTTTGGAGTGATCTGAGGAGCCTCGAGAAAGATTCGGTGAAAGAGGCTGAAAAAACACGTTTCTCATAAACGTCAAAACCAGTTAAGAATAAAAAATTATAAAGGAAATGCACGTGTATACATAACCTTATTTTGCAAAACTAACAACGAATTCATTACGACCAGGAGTTTGCGAAATATACCTTTCTCGGTGCTCGCCCCTCGACAACAGCGCCGATAGCAAACGAGTCAAGCAAGAGTCGTATTTCTCGAAACCCTTTTCAGGGTCCTGGAGCAAGCTCTGGTTAAAACCTTGGTAGCTGCTGTACTCGTGATAAATCCAGAGGATGGCCAACTCGGCTCGCTGCTTCTGATCGCTTAAAATGAACTCCTCAAGCACTAAAAATATACCGATAAAACAACAGGCGAAGGGGTGAAACAATCAGCAACTTTCTTGCAGTCGAGGAATATTGAAATGACATGCCATGGAGACCAGGATCTTCATGTGCGGAACGGAAGCACCGCCGCTCAGAACCCGCTCTAGAATAAGATCAAAATGAAGTTCTCTTAAGCTTAGATCCAGAAAACGGTAAAGAAATCGCAACTGCAACATTAATTCTTCATCCAGTAGGAGTGAAAAAATATCTTTTCAAGCATTTAGAGGCACACTGAAATATTCAACACAGCTACGATTTGCTGACAGAATATTTGGCCTCCCAATGGGAGCGAAATGATGCCCTTTCTCTCTATCTATACCTATGATAGTCATCATCCTTGGTTCAGAGGACGGTCAGCCTGATGGAAAAATTTCGACATGATGTGAATATTTTACGTTTTTTTCTATGGATTAAAAAACATTATATTTAGTCAGATATCATGTGGGTAAAACGATTAGGTCAGGAGGTACGGTAGAAAGTCTCCCATATTTGACCACGTTCACATCAAAATATTATTGATATGCATATTCCTCGCAGCTCATATGATTTGCTTTACGTTATATTTAAAAGAAAACAACTGTTCACTGCACTACACCCACTCCGCAAATCGCTCACAGTATTTCCTGAAGGGCATTAGTCGTGGACGCTAGTCCTCCAGTTTTTGTTGCGAATCTTGGTATTCGAATTCAGTTGTCTATTTGACCCCAAAAAGTAAACGACAAGCATTCATCTTCTCCAGTCAAAATGCAAAGAACATCGCGCAAACACAAAACAGCATACTCAAACGATAATCTGATGGTAAATGTCATTGAAAAACGAGGGATAACCAATTCAGAGCTTAAACCGGCGCAATGGCCCTCTCCTCAGCATCAGTTTCGAAGGTGAGCCGACAACCGAATGAAATACGACAGACGGTCAAAGGAGGTACATAGAGGAGTAAACAGGCAGCAACAATTTTCGCCCTGTCTTGTTGTCATATTGGCACGAAGGCGGTGTGACAAGCCGATCGACTGCACAACGAGGATGTCACACACAAACACGACGATTTTAGTTCCCGTATCTTTGAAGAGAACACTGCAAAGAAAGGATGAAAAGGTCTGGCAAACCATGACAACGGCTATCTTATTATCCGACCAGACGTCAGGCCTCTATAACAGCTGCTCTAGCATAAACAGAGAACCCACCTAAGTGGAGAGAAAATATTAATTTCCCCTTCATTTTCCAACTTATTTCATTTAAATTCAACCAGGACCTCTATCGAT